GCCGTATCCGAATTCCCGTTACCCAAATGTCCTAAAGACATAAAGTCATTCCTGGGATTAGTTTCATACTATCGTCGTTTCATACCTGACCTATCTAAAACAGCTAAACCTCTTACTCATCTTTTAAAAAAGAATATCCCATTTAATTGGCAAAATGAACAACAATTAGCATTTGAAAAATTGAAAAACGCCCTTGTTTCTGCTCCTATCTTAGCCTATCCGGATTTCAGTCAACCTTTTGTATTAACCTGTGATGCATCAAATTTCGCCATATCAGCTATACTATCTCAAGGCCCAATAGGAAATGACCGCCCTATCGCCTATGCATCACGAACACTTAACAAAGCCGAAACTAGTTACAGCGTGACCGAGAAGGAATGTTTAGCAATCCTCTTCGGGACAAAAACCTTTAGACCATATTTGTACGGCCGTAGATTTAAAATTGTCACCGACCATCGTCCCTTAAAATGGTTATTTAACTGCAAGGATCCGGGCTCCAAACTGGTCAGATGGAGACTCAAGCTTGAAGAATTCGATTACGAAGTAGAATATAAAAAAGGCAAAATTAATAGCAATGCCGACGCCTTGTCACGGTTCCCAGTCAACCCAATAACTCAAGACATGCCCTCTACCAGTGGTATTAATAACCAGCCAAATTCCAGTCCAGAGTCGGAAATTCCACAAGACGTCCTAGATGAACTAATTGACTTAGGTGCACTAGACTCAAGCCCAAACATAGACACTGACTTAAGAACTCCTCCTACTCCTGCGCTAACTCCTGAAGTAGAAGAACAAACCCATACGAGTACCGGCTCTAATAATGAATACTCGGACTTCTTAGAATCTTTTAGCAACAAAAACGAAACCTATAATACTCAAATTATAGAACACAATGAATCCATACTAAAAAGTAGTGCTAAAACTATCATCATGCCCGTATCAATAGACCTAGATGAATCCAACCCTTACCTTCAGGATGTGCTTTCCGCTCCTGAAGATTCAAACAGCATTTTGCAAGAGGAAATAGAACTTTATTCATTTAAAAAACTAGAATTAAGAGGGAAAACCTACTATCTACTATTTACAAAAGTTCATTATTTTGACAACTGCACATATCCCGATATTTTTAAAACGTTAAAATTAGCCCGAGACGACATTATTCTCTGTGGCGACATAAATAATATAGCAGTATCTGATTTCAAAAACGCATTTGAACATCACTCTTTTGTTAAAATTTACGGCATGCTTGTGTATTTATTCAACAACACTAATATTATAGTAAATATACATCATAATACTATTTTTTACCCTGTACCCTCGGAAATTTCAAAAATCTTAAAAGAAAACCACGATATTCCTATAGCAGGACATCTTGGTTCAAATAGAATGGTTGACCGAATTAAAGAACGTTACTACTGGAAGAACATGCGGTCAGATATAGAAAACTATGTAAAAAATTGTGCCCTCTGTCAATCGAATAAAGCCTTTCGCAGAATTAACAGATCACCCATGCAAATTACCACTACTTCTACTCGCCCATTTGAAAGAATTAGCCTAGACATAGTTGGACCTTTGCCCGAAGCTGGAGTCCATAAATTGAAATTTATACTTACCCTTCAGGATGATTTAACTAAATTCTCCATCGCTTATCCCATTTCTAATGCGACAGCAGAAGAATCTTGTGAATGCTTAGTACATTTCATATCATTTTTCGGGATTCCTAAAATGATACTTACAGATCAAGGAACAAATTTCACTGCCGACCTATTTAAAAGAACTTGTGAATTTCTAAAAATAAAACAGATCTGGTCATCACCTTACCATCCCCAAACACAAGGAGCTCTCGAGCGCAGTCATTCCACTCTGAAAGAATACTTAAAATCATACGTGGATGAGAACCAAACCAATTGGCACAAATTTGTCTACACCGCAATGTTGACCTATAATAGCAGCATTCACACAACAACTCGCTTCACACCCTATGAGCTTGTTTTCGGCCACAAGCCATTTATTCCCGATTCTGTTTTCAACCCTTCCTCTGAAATTACCTATCCTGAATACATAAAAATGCTTCAACACCGCCTTAAAATTTCCCGTGAAAAAGCTCTTCAGAATATTCAAAGGTCAAAGGAACGGTCAAAGACATATTATGACAGACACACTCGCGCCGTTCAATACAAAATCGGTGATTACGTTTATCTACGGAATCATGTGAGATTACGTAAAGCTTTATCAGCCGTTTGGAAGGGTCCGTACAAAGTTGTTCAAATTCACGGTAATAATACTCTATCTCTTCTGATCAATCGGCGTCACGTTAAGCACCATTTTGATGAAGTAAAACCAGCACATTTGAATAGTTAATTAAAAATACGATCCCCGTTTATGTCCAATTCGTTATTTATTAACCTAGTTAATATGACTATTACAGACTGGAGGCCGCTTATACTATAGCAACCACCGAAAACCAATATGTTGAATACATCACCCAGGGTCCTGGCATATTCTTCGATCCGGTTGGTTCTCTCAAAGTAGTTAATGATCAATTTCACATAGTTATCCCTGTAGATGTGTCCGCTTTCAGAGGTCACATCGAAAACATTCAAAATGCATTCAACAGAATACGGTATCAATGTCGAGAAAGTGAAGAAATAGATGAAAAACAATGCTTAAACATGTTGGAACCCTTAAATTCATTATATACAGACATCTTACGTGATTTTGATTCATTCTCCCATATTATTTCTAATAGCTTCTCTAAAAGATCCGCTTGGATGTCTGGAGTAGGTGTCATTTTTAGACACATATTTGGTACTTTAGATGAGGATGATGCTGAAAATTATAACAACGCTATCAAAAAACTATTCACAAATGAGAAGAAAATTAAAGATGCAATCAAAGAAAGCATTATTGTTTCCCAATCAGCCATTTCTAATGTAAATAATTCTTTACACGAAATCTATGTTAACCAAGCAAAATTGAATGACGTCATTGACAGAATAACTATGTCATATAATAATATATCTAATATTGTAACAACTAACAGTTTTAAAATTAATTTTGAAAATGTTTTAAATATCCTACAGTCTAACCTATACACCCTCTCCTTTAAGATAGAGGATATTTTAAACTCTATCCTATTTGTACAAAGTAACACTCTTCACCCATCTATTTTAACACCACGTCAACTATACGAAGACATTGTTAGTAACCTTAAGGTAGTTCCTAAGTATAAGGATTTCCCAGTAAGTTTAGAGTTAAATAATATTCATAGTTTAATTAATATTGCTAAGTTAGTCTGCTACTATTTAGATAATAAACTAATATTTGTAGTAAGAATACCCTTAGTTAGTGCTTTAGAATATAATTTATACAAAAATATTCCACTGCCTATTCCACATGGCCCAGAAACACCAAATTCTTTTAGTTTGATTTTACCTACTGAACAATTTTTAGCTTTAAGCAAAGACAAATCTTCTTTCGCATTTATTAAAAACCTACAAGACTGTAGAGATATATCCTACAAGACCTACCTTTGTAAATTATATGAAATTTATACAGTGTCGGGTAACCAATATTGTGAAATAGACATAATCACTAAGGCTGTATCCTCATTACCTGAAAATTGTCAATATAGATTCCTTCATGGTAATATTGATGTTTGGCACAAATTAAATAACAATAAGTGGATATTTGTACAATCTAAACCCACGAAACTTACTATTGAATGTTCAAATAGTATACTATCAGAAACAATTGTATCCGGCACGGGAATCCTTAATATTCCATATAATTGTGCAGCATATTGTAGAAATACAAGGTTAGTAAGAGAAACCACCCCCACTTTAAAATTACCAATGGTTTCTTCTAGTTTCAATATTATTAACGATAGTTGTTGTAATGTAGGTCGAGTAAAGAAATTAAATATATCGCCTTTTAAAATAAATAATGTAAAATTAGATGATCTTAAAAATCTTAAAATTGTATCCAATCAGATTATAGATAAGTTAAATTCCGTAGATAGTTCCCATGATTTTGATAAGCATATAAGTTTCCCAATCCTTAGTGTATTTTCTGTAGTTTTATGTTTAGCTTTAGTTTTACTATATATTTGTAAAAAGGGCAAGTGTTCAAAATCAAAGATGCATACAATAACAAATGAACAAGATGAGAACTCTCACATAGAATTAGGAATAACTCCAAATCAACCGCGTTTACGGATGGAGTAATTTCCCGGAAACTTTCCCTTACGGTAAGTTTCCTCTTAACCGGGGGGCTGTTACATACCCCTTTTGTATGGGACATCGCTGAGACATCGCTGAGCTAAGCGTTACTAGGCGGGTATCAGATATCCCAGTACTCAGAGCGTCGCCAGGTTGCATCAGTCTCTTCCGAACCCTGAGAGTGAACACTCGCCTTTTCCATTTCACTTGTAATCATTCTTTTTATTAAAAGTGTTCATTAATTTACTATTTCCTTTTTTTTAAAAAGCCTAAGTCAAGGCCCCGTGTAACAGTTCGAGGACCTTTTGGGCCGTGTTAGACGTGCTGCAAAAACATTACAATCGCAGCCTAATGACCCCAAACCTGCTAATAAATACAAATCGCCTAAATTACCACCGATAGAAATCCCCGAGTTTAACACGTTGAGTGCGAAACGAGGCTTAAAACACCTCGTCCGTGTCTCGTCTTTATAGCGGTAAGGAAAAACTTAAACTTCTCTGTCGTGCGAGAGGCGTAACTTCCGTCTGGTTCAGTCTAGGAAAGAGATAACTATATATCTGAGATGTGCTATTGATGCCGAGTTTTTTGGTATACCTACCTTAATACCGGGTTTTTTAGGCCTCGTACCGCACTGAATAAATAAAAGTTTAATACAGTGCGTTACGAGGTTGCGAACAACTCGTACCCCTGCACACCTCGTACCGCACCCTACGCTAGCTTCACGCGGTTAGTGTTGTGCAAAACGTTGAACGCTGCGCCCGCGACGATATATGTAATAAGATGTCGATACGTTGCCGAAGAAAGTTAATAAATAATATTATTGATGATGAAGAGGAATTGGGTGGTAAATCTAATTCAAAATTACCGATATTTGAAAAACAGGTAAGTTTCCAATCAATATTTACAAATTATACTCAGTCTAAGAGAAATAATTATGTAGGAATATAATAAATAAATTACAGCTATGTATATTTAAAATATGGTGTATAAATACAATATATAATATTATAAATTATACACTGTAATGTATTGTATGTATGTATAGTTAGGGATTACAATATAATAACGCTTTCTATCCTTGTTCCTTGTGTTAAGTATTTTGATATGCCTCGGTGGCGCAGTGGAAGTGTATGCAACTGCTGTGCCTGAGGTCCCGGGTTCGATTTCCGGGTCGGGCAAAGTGTTATTGGGTTTTTCTGTAAGGAAATTCCTAGTAGCAGCACGGAGACTGGTAAATACGTGCCCAGTAAACGGCAATAGGCTCGCCACCTATTACGTGGGACAAACATAGTTGGCGTAATGAGGATGTATCTATAATACACCTCTACCTACCCCTTCGGGGATACAGGCGTGAGACTATTTTATGTTATGTAACATAATTGATATGTTTATAAGGTACTTGTCACTAGGCTAGCCGAGTACGTGTTTGTGAATCTTTATGTTACGTCAGGCTTGCTAGTGGAAATAAGTAGCTAGGTACTTAGTGACAGTCGTTACTATACAATAATATTAATACTGCGATTACGAACCATTAAGGATCAATACCTACAATTTACCTACAGTTGTCCATAGTTTTACTAGTCAACCTCTTTGTTTAAGGGTTTTAAGTGAATTTTATCATATATTGAGTTTTGAAATCCTTACAGCTAATAATACTATATTTGTATTTTGTTTTTAGCGAATTATCATAAAGGATTACAATATTTATCGGATCTGTAAGTACGTATTGTATAGTTGGAGTGGTGCTTCTGATTTAACTATGCTATATTTTTTGGCGTTTGTGTGAAAAGCTTAAGATTAACACCAATGCACCTACACAATAATTTATTTCAATTTTGTATGAAATAAACCACAAAATAATGTCATAAAAACCAGTTGCATGTAAAAACCTGGATGATAAATAAATAAATACATAATTAATGATAAGGTCTGCCATCAGTCCGGGGTTCCCTGTACCTATCCTGGTTTGGAAAGCGTTCCATCCTGGTGGCAATTACAAAAGGTGTCCGAAAGAATTCCGATTTTCTATGCCGCGTTGGCAATTACCCTTTTTCCTCTGAAGGCTTAAAAAAGATCCGCCAGAGGCAGCACTAGTGGGGGGGTACATATGTTTTGAATTTGCTATTGACAGTAACGTTCAACAACGTCTTCAGAGGAAAAAGGCTAATTTAGATGGCAATTCTAATAATTATGTATGTGAATACCATGCTTGATTCGGTTTTGTTAAAACTGCAAATATTCATTAATAATCATTTTGAGCCTCGAAAATATAATATAAGCTTAATATTTACTACTAACAAAACAAGTTTTTCAGAAGCCTTTCGCTAGCAGCTTAATAAAAATTGTACCGAACTAAATGATAGTTTTCATATAATAATTGATATCTGGGATTTCTTTCAAAAATAGTAAAATTAGGGTTATTGTCGACATTTTTTAAACAAATCTTCACTTTATAAACAAAACTTATCATAGTAAATACCTTTATTACATATAAGTTATATACTAGTTACTGCAATACAAGTAAGCTTTCACCATTTTGTGCTTATTTATTGATAATTTTAATTCATTTGAATGCCAGATTGCCTTCTTTAGATTCTTGCCTATTTTATTTGCTTTGAAATATATTTAAATTATCTGTTGATATTTTCTGTAACTAGGGCGCAAGTCATTGAATTCCTGAATATTATTACGTTGCGTTTTGATCGGTACACTCAATAAAGAGCGAGCTACGGCCTGTACCATATGTAAAATACTATTAATACTATTAAATAACATCTATTGATTTTCAGAGTCCACCAAATAGTAATACCAAGCCAACTTGGGCAAGTAAACCTTCTATCGAAGATTCTAGTGATGAAGAGATTTTTCCAATAAAACGTCTTAAAAATTCTGACTCTCTTCAAATAGAAGAAAACAAAACTTCTTATCATCCAAAAGAATCTGGATCACCACAAAAAGTAAATATTTTTGAAGAAATTAAACAAACTGATATTCGGAAACAAAAACCGATCACGAATAAACATGCAAATTTTTTCATTATTACAAGTACAGGCAAATTATATAACAAAGCAAAAATAGGAGTTGAATATGCCAAAAATAACGATGAAAGGAACCCTGTTGAAACCAATGAACTAGAAGAAACAATTTATTTGAGTCCTAGTACCGGAAAATCCTGTCAAGTATTACAAAATGTTACCATTCCCTGTTCTAGCGTCCCAACCACCCCAAGACAACAGATAAGAAAAAACAAAAATCTTTCCTCTTTTTCTTCACTTTCAATGGACTTTCCTCATATGAATTCTGAGAGCAGAACTAGTTCTTTATCAGAAATTTCATGCTCCAATTTACTAGATTGCGATTTATCTCTTAATGAGGAAAATATTAAGAAATTACTACATGAACAAACACCGGAACAAAAGAGATCAAGTCAAAATTTTATATCCGAATGTGCAGTTTCTAATGACTCGAATTTGTCCAATTGTAAAGAAAAAAAAGCAATAGAGGTTACTGTGATTGTTGAGGATGTTTCGAAGGATATTGATCGAAAAAAACAAAACAGGGTTAATAAATTGTCAACTGTACTGAAATTGCCTGATTCCATTGACTATGATATAATTGAACATTTGAATAGCGACAACGAGACAATAATTGAAAACAGAACTCGTGATAATTTACCGGATATTCTAAAATCACCTGATGCAAATAATTGTAATAATATCCAAAATTTTAGTGACAGCGGGGATGATGATAATGATTCAAGCGAGTCGGAAGAATCTGATATTATTTCATTAGAGGGTTGCATAGGAACAGAACAGGAATTATCTTCAGATGAAAGTGAAAATACAGAAAACGATACTTTAGACGAAGAAGAGGCATTACCCAGCCGCCAAATTAACAAGAACGATGATGACGAGTGGATAGACATATCAGAAAGTCCCGTAAATTTTGATGAATTTGTTGGTGAAAATACCTACAATATACCGTCGTTTGTAAAATCATCTGAAGATGTATATAAATTATTTGTAACAGAAGAGATGATCAATAAAATGGTGTCTGAGACAAACAATTATGCACGAAACTATTTACGAACAAACCAACTAAATATGAAACGTAAATCACGTATGAAACACTGGACTGATACTAATTTGCAGGAAATGAAAACATTTCTGGCAGTTGTGATGGCAATGGGTTTGTGTAAAGTTCCTCTTATAAATTTGTATTGGAGCAAAAACAATTTATACAGAAACGAATTTATAAGTTCAGCAATGACAAGAGACAGATTTTTACTCTTATTAAAATGCTGGCATGTCAGTGATGTCTCAAATGATGATAAAACTGACAAACTATATAAAATCAGAGATATGCTTTCTATGATAACTGACAATTTTCAGAACATATTAAACCCCGGCAAATACGTAATAATTGATGAGACAATGATACCCTGGAGAGGACGATTAGGCTTCCGTCAATATATAAAAAACAAATCTCACCGATATGGTGTTAAGCTGTACAAGCTTTGCACCCCTGAAGGTTATACCTACCAGATAGAGATTTACACAGTTAAAACAGATCAGAAGAAAGAAGTTGATCACAGTCAAAAAGTAGTATTAAGATTGATGAACAATTTAATTGAACAGGGAAGAATCGTGATAGTAGATAATTTCTATACTTCGGTGACTCTAGCAGAAAAACTCCTATCACAAAAAACTTTTGTATGCGGAACTTTAAACGTACGAAGAAAATATTTGCCAAAGAAAGTTGTTAATGCGAATATAAAGAAGGGCCAGATTATTGGAAAAATGAACAAAAAGGGCGTAAAAGTATTGAAATGGGTAGATAAAAGAAATGTTTTAATGTTAATTACGTGCAAAGATCACGACGACAAACTAATAGATACTGGAAAAAAGAAGAGAGGCACTAACGAATGCATTAAAAAACCAGGATGTGTTATAATGTACAATGAAACAAAAAAAGGAATTGACTATAGTGACCAAATGTCTTCTTATTATACAACATTAAAGAAAGGAATTAAGTGGTGGAGGAAGGTAATAATGGAGCTAATATTTGGTACAGCCCTTATTAATGCCTGGATTGTGTATAACTCAATTAATGATGATGCAAATAAATTGCCAAAAAGACAATTTGTAGAACAACTTATTGAAGCTTTTACAAAGAACGACTTGGATGTCGATACAGGTAATTTTCAGACATCGTAACTACTTGTTATTTCGTTAATGGAAATGTGAATGTGATTTGTTGAGTGACTTTTTTAAATAGGCTGATGATAATCAATTAGTCTGTTTGTTTATTGAATGAATTATGCAACTGATCATTAAATAATTAAATTAAATTAAATAATTTTCACAATTAAAATAACTGATCATTTTATATAAAGTTTTGTAACTATTTATCATGCATTTACACAAATAAGTCCTTTATTAATAAGGCTTTTGAACTACAGGTATAGCGATTAACTGCGGCAGTTCCTTAGGTATGAGAGCGGCACGGAGGATGTGTATTAATTGACGCGGTACTTTTGACGGGCTTCAGTAAGGCGACAGCTCCGCTGACGTCATCACATGTATATTTGAACCCGACGCTTTGGTCAATGCGCATGAGGTTATAGCCAAAGCAGCGAGTCCAAATAGACATCGTACTATCACCCGACTGAATCCTGTCAAACGTTCACGTCAACTGACAAAAGCAAAACACACACCGGCCGTAACGATCCCATACTTAGGTATAGAACTGCTCCAATAAATCGCTACACCTAATCAACCCACTTCAAATATACACAATCAGTTTTTTTATTTTCAGAACCCACTCCAAACAATCCACATCATCTCGAAAAAAGATCAAAGAAGAGGAGATGTGTAGGATGCTACGAAAAACTTCGCACCTTCTTATCAAGTCGTGAGGCTGATAAGAAAGCAAAGAAAATTCTCACAGAATGTATCGGTTGCAAAAAATATTATTGTTTGACCTGTTTCAATAAAAACCATCCATAAGTACAATTAAATGAAATCGATATTTTTTTTCCCATCACTAAACAATATGAAAAACTGCCCTTTTTCAGTGCGGTATGGGGTACATAAGACCCCACATTTTATTTTACCTATAGAATCTAAACTAAATAATCTGCCCACAGGCGGCGGCAGATTTAGGTTAATCAACTCATTGATAATAATAATCGCGAACAAAAACCATACAATTCGCCTTATTTGGCGCCAAAATAGGATTTTTGTCTCCTGTGGGCGGTGGGGTTTATTAAGCCTCGTGCCGCTACAACCTCTGGTTCAGAACGAGGTTTCAAACGCCTCGTAACGCAGTAATGGAAAGTACAGATAAATCAGTGCCGCTGGGAACGTGTTAATGGAGATATAAAAAATTGGCCGCTATTTTTCGCTAGTTTTCAAAATGCTGTTCATAATAATTGTTCGCTGTCGGAATCGGAAAAGTTGTAATACTTGATAGGTAAATTGCCCGGGAAGGCGCGATCAGTATACGCCGGGATAACCCCATGTGCCGAGAATTATTTATTAATTTTCGATTTGCTTAAAAATAAATACGAAGATAAACGGCTAGTGGCCACCTCGTATTTAGATCAAATATTTGATCTCAAGGCCATTTCATCCGCAACCCCATCAAATCTGGAACAATTTCTTGACAAATTCGCATGCTCAGTCGCCGCCTTGAAAAACTTGAAGGTCGATGACCTCGCTGATTTTGTATTTTTATATATTGCACTCAAGAAATTAGACCAAGACACTGCACGTTCATTCGAATCATTTAAACGCACTTGTCCAATGCCTATGTTCAATGACCTATCATCATCTGTTCGCGAGCACATACAAATATTAGAACGCACTTCATTAGTCAAACATGGAGTCACAAAGAAGACGTTTGAACGAAAAATGGATCCGGCACCTAAGTTGCCGAATTCGTCGACCACACATGCATACGTGAATGCCGCATCCAGTCCTCAGCAATCTTCGTGCTCCTTGTGCAATAGTAAACATGATCACTTGTACAAATGTTCTGTGTTTCATAATCGCAAACCAAACGATCGGTTCAAATTTGTCAAAGCAAATAATTTATGCATAAATTGTCTAGATAGATAGATAGATAGAACTCTTTATTTGTACACCATTTTACAAGAAGCATGATAGTTACATGAAAGTGTTATATACAATGTACAAAGGGCGGCCTTATTGCTATGAGCAATCTCTTCCAGGCAACCATAGGATGGATCAAAATGTTCGGGAGAGATAGTAGTAGTTGATGGTGAATTGAGTTTTCAGGTTAATTACTAACGAATATAAAAGAGATAATAACTACATTTATATATAATATAAGAAATATACACACACACACACATATATTTATACAAATACACATACATATCTACATTCATAAAAACAAATACTTATACATACATAAGTACTTATACAATATCACATATAACAAAAAAAAGAAAAGCATTCAAATCATACCTTAACACGAGGAAGTAGCTGTCTTAATTACGATACCATAAATTCTTGGACCATTTTCTTAAAGCTGTTTATGGTTTTCGCTCGCCTTATGTTTATCGGCAGTGCATTCCACAAGCGTACAGCTTGAACAGTAAAAGACTGGTCGTAAAATTTTGTAGAATGCAGAGGCATCTCAAGCCTCAAATCTTCGGATGACCTCAGACACTTTTCATGTGTGTCATGAAGGAACTTGAACCGTTCTTTGAGGTAAAAGGGGGCTCTGGGATTGAACAAGATGTTATAGAGAAAAATGAGTATATGAGTATTCCGGCGAGAGCGAATCGGAAGCCACTTGAGCTTTAGACGGAATTCAGAAACGTGATCATATTTTCTTAGTCCAAATACAAATCGTATACAGAAATTTTGAAGTCGCTCAAGCTTATCAAGTTGGGCTTCAGTGAGATTCAGATAGCTGACATCGGCATAGTCGAGAATTGGGAGGAGAAGTGCTTGCGCAAGTGCAGCCCTAGTTGCAGTCGGTAGGAAGTTACGTAGTCTTCGCATGGACCCGGCAGAAGCAAATATCTTACGACTAACTTCTTGTAAATGTGGGCCCCAAGTTAAATTATTATCTATGCTAATTCCTAAATTTTTAACACTAGTACTGATCTCAAGTGTAGTGCCTTCGAATTCAATTTGCGGCATTTGTGTCCAGTTAATTCTTGAGACCAGCCCAGGACTGCCAATCACACATACCTGAGTCTTTTTAGGATTGACCTTGAGTCCATAATTATGACTCCATTCGCCGATGCGCGATAGGTCAGCATTGATTTTGTTGAATGCCCCCGATAACAAGGTAAGCGGGGCTTGTGTATATATTTGTAAATCGTCTGCATAAAGGTGATAGAACGAACTTAACTGATTAGAGATGGAGTTTATAAAAACAGCGAAGAGTAAAGGAGATAAAACGCCACCCTGTGGTACACCAGCAGAAATACTGCACCAGGAAGACACCGAGTCTTCAATGCAAATACGTTGCCGGCGACCAGACAGGTAACTATGAAACCAATCAATTGTTCTTGGAGACACGTTAAGAGACCGCAGTATACCAAGCAGAATGTGAAAATCTACAGTATTAAAAGCGTTGCTAAAATCAAGTAAGGCGAGTACTGTAATCATTCCACTATCCATGCCTAGTCTGATACTATCGGTAATGTGAACTAATGCAGAAGTTGTGCTGTGACCAGGACGAAAGCCGGATTGGAAGGGGTTCAGTAAAGAATTTTTGGAAAGGAAGCTACTCAGTTGAGAGTGGATGAGACGTTCAAGCACTTTGGACAAGAAAGGTAAAATAGAAATAGGCCTAAGGTCAGAAAAGGAAGAGGGTTTAACTTTTTTAGGTAGAGGGATTAGTTGAGCATCTTTCCATGCAGATGGAAAAACACCGCTTGTCACGGAGTGATTCAGGATATTGCATAGGATGGATAGGATTTCGTCTAGGATAGGAAGAATCATGTTTCGGCTAACACAGTAACACCCTACTGCATTTGATGAAATCGCTAGAATGGTCTTCTTAACGTCACAAGCGGACAACTGATCAAAGACGAAAGGTGGATAGTCGGGAGCTTGGGTAGAAGAAATATGTCTAAGAGTATTAGCTTTAATGTTGTCATTAATTTCAGACGAGATAGAGAAATGTTTATTAAGTATATCAATGTTTATATTTTTAGGAAGAGAGTCTTGGCGAGACTTCCCAACTCCCAATGTTCTTAAAAATTTCCAGACTTTTGCTGGGTCTCCGTTGTCTACGGAAGAATGGATATGTTGGCGTTGTGCATTTCTACACATCTTATTGCAGAGATTTCTCAGGTACATATATTTTTCTAGATTAATATCCGTGGGTCGACGCTTGTACTTATTTTTCGCTAAACATTTCTTAAACATGATCTGCCGTATCTCCTCGGTAAGCCATGGAGCCGGTAAATGTTTCATTTTGATCGATCGCAGGGGTGCATGCACGTTATATAGTTCTAATATCTTTTCAGTGAATATTTGTACTCTTTCATTTATACACTGCGAGTTTATTAAGACAGACCAGTCAATGTTACCGGCATCCTCTTTCAGCTTAATAAGATCCATCCCGCTAAAGTTGCGTTGCACAAGAATTCTCGGCTTTGCCTTGGGTGGGCGGATAGCATAGGAAAGAAATATCAAATCATGATAGGAGAATGCATCAGCTGGATACTGGCCATGGTTAATGACATGATCAGTAGAGGAGACAATAATAAGATCAAGAAGAGAGGGAGTGCAGTTAGGAAAATGATGAGTAGCATCAAGTCTTAAAAGTGATAAATTATTACAGTCCACCACCCTGCGCAGCAGAGAAGATCGACAGTCACTTTTCATTAAACAAGTATTAAAGTCGCCCATTACTATTGTGTGACTATATGAAGGAGATAATTTTTCTAGCATATTTTCGAACGAGTAAAAGTAGTTAGTACGTAATGATGGCGAGTAGTAAACACCGAGTAAAACTTTCGCGTGATTGAGTTCCAGTTTTAAAAAGAGATTCTCACCTGCGTCCGGTGGGGGGGGGTTGTGAAGACATATTTACAATGGTAAAGGGAATATGTTGTCGTAGATATATACCAACACCACCCCCGCCACCAATCGCACGATCATTCCTTATCAGGTGGAAACCTGGAAGAGTATATGATATGGATGGTAGACATGGTTTTAACCATGTCTCTGAGACTAAAATGGCGTGTATGTTTTTACAATCAAAGGTAGCCAGCATATCAGAGAAGTGGGCTGGAATACTTTGGGCATTAATATGGACTACATTAAAATGCTGCGGTGCATCCGAAAATTGATAGTGTAGATTTTCTCGGAGTGAAGGTATGCTAACAAAACTAGTGTCAAGGCTGTTCGTGGAGTAAAAACTATCAACATCACTATTGTCCAAATCAGACATTGTGATGTATTAAAATAATAACCTAATAGATAACAACAGTGATATTAAGTAATATATATATATATATATTTATATCAATGAAATAAAAGAAGAAAAATTTATATAAATTATACAAATAATTATCTAAAAAATTTATACTATCATTTTGGTCCACCCGCCAGTCGTGTGTTTAACATTTATAGCGGTAAGAGATATTATAACTTAATTTGCAGCACAGCAAAACAGCAAAGAAAAGAAAAAAAAAAAAAGAAATTTAGATTATACGTAAAATTAGCAACGGAACGCATCAAGTATCTGGGTGAACTTACTTGTGTGAAAAGCCTATGTTCCAAATCACTAGTAATAAAGGCGAAACGAGTGTTTTGAAAAAGAAAATATGTTGACTGGAACGCAATTTTGACAGATAGCTCACTAATAATTTGTATTGTATGTCAAGTGGAATAATAAATAAGTTAATTTTATTAAGGTAGAAAGTGATAACTAGACAGTTATTATGGCAATATAAGTAAAGAGGGTATATTGGAAGTGATTCTTACGTGTAATCCACCCAGACAGTGTAACGTTACATTGAGACACCGTATGCAGACAAACATATGAACTTATCTTCTAGAACCGGTAGCCGCTCTTCTCGGCTTAGAAGCTGGGTTTTTGTTAACATTAGGTTTTTCTGCAACTACTGGCTTTATCTTATTAAGGTCTGCCACAGATGTTATACGGTAGCGTGAACCGTCAGGAGCCAAAACATATACGGAGCCTTCTTTGGTCCAACATTTCGTGATCCCGAACTCTTCACGTGCTGCCATGAAGGCTGAGTGTCGCGACCGAGTCAGGAACTCCGAGAGGGTCACACCAGTGCCTTTCGGTTTGGTCTTAGATGTCCAGATTCTGTCCCGCACTGCTACTGTCCTAAATTTTACTAGAATGGGTCTTGGTTTCTCACCTGATGATTGTCGACCCATCCTGTGACAGCGGCTTATGTCTTCAGGGGCAAACGACTCAAAATGCAATTTATGTTCCGCTACCTCGGCCACCACTTGAGATGTGATCTCATCCTTTTTCTCTGTGATACCATGAAGAAGAAGCATTTTGCGGCGGCTGCGTGTCTCTATGTTGTCCACCTCATTCGCAATCACCTCGATCTGGCTTTGGAAGTACCTCAAGGTCTCAAGAACAAGAGTTTTAAACACAGTGAAGTCCTCCGTGAGACCAGCCAGGCTAGCAGCATTGAAGGTTTTCTTTAAGAGTTCCGCTTCAAAGTTTGCCATCCTCTTCTCAAAGCAGTCTTGCAACTCCTGTATATTCTTCATAGTAGTCCTGTGATTAATACGTATTTTGCACTTTGGATTTAGTTATTAATTTAGGATATAACACTTGACCAGCAGGTATTTATTGTTGATGACTTATTATATTCATTAAATTTATGTAAAATGTAGTTATTTTATTTTATTTTTCAATTAATTATTAAGAGCTTTTATGTTGTATGTTGACCTTTCAACTACCCACTTGTATGTGGTGCAGGACATCGCCTGTCCGCGTGCGGGTCGAATTCCTTGTGTAAAAAATGCAACTCTAAACATCATACATTATTGTGTTTTCGGGACACATCCGTAAACAATCACCATAGCAACTCGTTCGATACGCGCGCTCACGCCGCCGCCGCCACTGCCGCCGCGCCGGTTACGTCGGGACAGGTTCGACCGTCCGGGTCCGTCGCTCTAGATAGTTCCGCTCGGACTGATGACGTCACTCTTTGTGCGTTATCAGATAACAACGTAAACATTTCTCGTGGCCCTACTACGATTTTACTCGCGACCGCGCGCATCATTATTGTTGATTCTCGTGGTAATAAACACAGCGTACGCGCTTTATTAGACAGCGCTTCACAAAGCAATTTTATAACCCGTTCTTGCTGCCAGCGCTTAGGTTTAAATGCTAATCGGATCTCAGACGTATCTACCGTGAAGGGAATAGGTGGTTCAAGCAAAAATATTCAAGGCTCGGTAATTATTAAATTTAGTTCTCGGTTCGATCGTAACACCAATTACGACATGAAGTCTCTGATTATAGATAAAATAACCGAGCACTTACCCACTGTCTCCATTAATTTTTCGCATTTACCCAACTTGGAAAACTTACCGTTAGCGGATGACACATACACCGTCTCGGGTCCGATTGATGTCCTCATCGGGGCTTCAATTTTCCCACATCTTCTCTTGTCGCACAAGGTTCAAGGACACCCTGCTCGTCACTCACCTCTCGCATTAGAATCTGTCCTTGGCTACGTTATCGTTGGTGAGACTCCGATATGTGTTGATCGTTTCGAAACCACTTCGTATTGTTGCTTCGCTGATCCCCTCAACTTAGCCGTTCGTAAATTCTGGGAGTTGGAGGAGGTGAACGTCCCACCCATACTCAGCCCAGATGATAAGATCTGTGAAGAAATATACACTCGTACGACCTCTCGCGCTGACGATGGCCGTTATGAAGTAGCGCTGCCTTTCAAGGGAGACATACATTCCCTTGGCGAGTTTCGACAGGCAAGCAAAAGAAGGTTTCTTTGCTTGGAGAGAAAGTTGCTGGCTTCTCCGAAGTTGAAGACGGTCTACAACGGTGTCGTTAATGAATACTTAGATAAGGGTTATATTTCGCCCGTAGACCCAGAATCATCAGATAGTCAATCGTATTTTATACCGCATCACGGAGTCTTAAGAGAGGACAAGGTCACGTCGAAGTTGAGAATTGTTCTAGATGGTAGTTGCAAGACAAGCACACGTGTCTCTCTTAACCGCTCGCTTCACAGCTCGTAAATTACGCGCGACCTCCGATTGTTCGGGCCACTTGAGCGGAGCGCGCCTCAATTGCCCATCTGTTTTTTACGTTACCGGCGAGCGGGTTGTATTACAAACAATCGGTCCTTGCGACTAAGTGTGTTTTGAAAGGTTGTCAAGTGTTATATTTTTTATATTTACTATGAAACTAGCTATACAATGCTATCTTTTATTTATGAGGTTACGACTCTGGTGTCGAGTTATGTTGTGTTGAAATTGAGATAGCGCGTTTTAAAGCTCGTCTTGTATTCAAGAGCTCATATCTCAAAATGTAAAGCGATGACATATGGTTTTTAATCTTTGATTACGTTACTTATATAATGTATAACAGGATAAGAAATAAAAAAAGTTGACTTGTCTACATATTTATTCAATTACAGGCCTTTGATGGCATACCATTACATGGCGCCGCGCGGCGTAATTTATATCAAACTTAACAAGGCATATAATACACAAATATCATTATAGTCATAAAATATAAGCAACACTTAATAAGTAATCTTATATTCTTTAAAAAAAAAACAAAAATCATAGTGATAGCATTCACCATCACTGAGAAATATGAACATTTTTGAAGTGTTTTGTTTCTCTCAGTGGAATCAATTAAATCTTCTGTTTTTTTTTGTTCTACATACTAAACAATACAATAATAACAATTGATATGTAAATAGTATATTTAATGCCCATTTCAAAAAGGTATCACACTTGCACAATCTACCATTTTATTAACATAAACATGTAGAAATACAGTCAACCAGACGTAGTAATAAGGCTGACTACGTAGTAATAAGGCTGACTACACACTATAAAGTATCGGGAATTATTTTCCGGATCTTACTTACGTACTAATATATATATATATATACGAGAACTAATGTATATATGTATAATAAATAACTAGAAAAATAATGTGACTTTATAATAAAAAAAAAAAAAAAAAAAATTAACCCAACTATTTGTGATAATCTCCGTAACACCCCTCTAAGCACAGATTAATTTGGCACGTGCCACAACTCCACATTGTCGAGCGCCGCACCTTCTTACTTGCGCAAAATTTGCACCGCTGCTTTTTTTCTTTTTTCACAGGCAAATGCATCGGCTGTGGCAATGTGGGTTGTACGGGTGCTTGAGGGGTGTTACAGTAAGTCTCCAAGATTTCCTCTAGGAGCCGTACCCTGAAGGATCTATTACCGAGCTTGTCGGATTCTGTGCGGCCGTGGTCATGGATAACCGACGAATTGTGTATCAACACGTTCAAAAGTCGGCGGAATAGTTTTTTATACCAAATTAGATTTCTGCGCCTCTCTATGGGGAAGCTGCTCAGCATCTGATCTTTAAGATCGATGCCCCCCACAGAGAGGTTATAATCAAGGATTACCTTTGACCTATATTTATAGTAACCGTATTTTTCTATTCCGCCGACTTCTGGACGATGGTATGTAGATATCATCGGTACAATGTTTTTATCCATGTACACGAGCACACACAGATCTTTGGTGGAGCTGAAAAAGACTTCACCCGACTTCATAGTCGTTTTATTTTTGACCTTTAATGCTTCAGGGACGAACTCCCTATTGAGCCGAAGAGTGCCCATCGTATCAGTTTTGTGTTGCGATTTGAGTAACCGTGATAGTAGTGGGGAGTTGTAAAAGTTGTCCATGACAACGGTGTGTCCTCTTCCGAAAAGGGGTCGTAACAATGTATAGACGATTTTTGATGTGGCATTCTCCGGCTCAATCTCCGCCTCATACCCTACAACCGGTACTGCACCTGCTTCTTGCTGAGCATGAACATGCCCCTTGCCAGAATATACCTCCATCTTCCAGAGGTAGCCTGTGCGCGATTCGCACAATTCGTAACTTTTTATACCTTCCCGAGCCCACAGCCACAAAACTGTGGCAATTTTTTGCGAAAACGAGAGTCCTTCCATAGAAGGAGCGACTCGTCGATTGTCACTTTTTGCTCGGGAAGGTACAGTGCGGAAAATTTTTCATTTAAATGTTTAATAATGGGCATTATCTTCTGGAGTTTAGGAAGGAAGGAGGAATTGTTGTTAAAATGGAGGCACCTTTTTATTAGAAGGAATCGGTTGTAGGGCATGATTTTCCTACAATCTCCAATCTGTAGGAAGGCGGACCTGGGATACCAATACTCGCGCTCCACATTGTTAACTATAACAGATTGTAACATCAAGATGGACAGGAAGCGCCAAAATTCGTCGCTAGTCACATCTTTCCATTTTGATAAACGAGTCCAATTGCATTTTTGTTTTAAAAATAACTGTCGTGCGTATCTATTCGTTTCGTTAACAATGTGGTCTATAATATCGGTATCCCAGATTTGTTGGAATACCTGGAGAGGAGACATACCCGAGTGGTCAAAAGTTGGTCCTGATGGCCCAGAAAACTCTTCTTGGACGCCCTCAAAGTTGTTGTAATCGGCACACCAGTTAAAACTAAGGACGTCCATGTCACCCGCAGCCATATTACGAATGGCTTGGTCCTCCGTGCTGTCCAACTGCAAAAGCTCATTGAGCTCCGTGGGGCACGGCTTCTGAGCATCCTCGCCGGTGGTGCAACCTATCAGGCGATCCACAACGTTCTGGAATAGTATATATTTGCTTGAGAAACGGTACAATGATGGTCTTACAGATAAACTAATACATGTATATTATTACCTCCTCCTCATCGATTTCGCTGCCACTGTTGACCTCCAGGTCGCGCTCTATTTGTACGTCTGCAATATTTTTTGTTGTTGATAAAATTTGTATACAAACAGTATGTACCGTAAGTCGGGTCGGGGGCAATTTTAAAGTGTGTAACTCACCAATCTCGATGGACAAATTAGATCTGGCGCTCCTGCCGGAATCGAATGCTTCCGTTCGAGTGCTGGTTGCTAAAACATTTACCCAAAATTTTAGTGATATCTTGAATTATTTACAAAAATAACAGAAAAACAGTGGACACAACAGGACTATATTCGTGAAAAGAAATATTCATTAAAAATATTGAAGGAAATATTTTCTATTAAAATACTTACTAGGCGTGCAATTGATTAGTTCAATGTCGGCAACGACGGGTGGGAAAGACACCTCCATGACCTGAACGATCCCCGTGGATGGGCTGAAGCGAATGCATGATCTCCTGACGATAAAAAATTGTGATGCCAATTAATTTTGTAAATTTTAGACATTCATTTTCAGGCTTTTACACACATAGGCATTATACACCTAGACTTACTTCGCTTGAGGAGTAGTTAAATTGATGTCCTCTTTCACCCTCTTCAAACACCTTTGTGTCAATTCTGATAAAAAAGTACGAAGTAAAGTAAAGTATTGCATGAGCAAATGTAAAAAACAGTAGCTTTTGTCTTACCGAGGAAAGAATCTTCCTGGTGACATTTTGGAGGCGTCCCTTCTATGATATCATCGTGGCTTTCTTCCGCTGCTGCTGTTGTTAATGGAATAAAAAAGTGCAATGTATAGTATTGCATGAGCAAATGTTAAAAAGTGATTTTAGTTATAGTCTTACCGAGACAAGGTCCTTGCAGGGAAAGTGGAGAAGGCGTGCCCTGGATGACGTCATCGTTGGTCGTCTCCTTCGCTGTAGTTTCATTTTAGGAATAAAAAAGTACAATGATGAGCAATACATGAGCAAATATAATGAACCAATTTTAGCTATGGGAGCCATTCAAATCGACGACAGTTGCTTCGACAACCATTTCTGAATTTAGAACGGAATGAAAAAAAAAATTATGTATTAATAGGGATAAGTAGAAATAACAGTTACGTATATGATAAAACAATGCACATACCATGCACAGACTGAACCTTTTCCCATGGCTGAAGGACCCTTGCTGGAGGGATGGAGGGCACACCGGGCAACAGTGGGCAAGTGATCCACTGTCGTTCGTCGGGTACCGTCCTCTTGCCCTTCCCCTTTCCTTTCCTGTATTCAAAAATAAATATTAGATTAAATGCAGGTTATGGCTGATTACCATAAACAAGTTTGTCGATTTATAAATATACTTACGAAGTAGGCAACTCCGGCATTCTATAATTGCCGACTTGTTTTATATCTTTGCTGTGCGCCAACTCTTTTCGCTGTGCAGCGCTCATTTTTTTTATGTTTTTATTGTCTGCAGCCTTACCAGACTTATTTTTTTTTATCTCGATTGCCAAAGAAGACTGCACATTGACCCTTAAAACATAATGAAATTTATAAATAATGCACTAACAGTTAAAAAAAAAGCTTTGCAAGTAATTGCTTATGGACGTTTATCAGAATATTAGCGTACAGTTTCTGTCGCGGAGTATTGGGGTAAAATAAAATAAAAATGAACATCTAGACTGCTGGCAATTGACTGAAAGAAGAAGAATTGACATGAACATACCTTTGTTGTTCCCCCGACGGCCCTGGAGTGGGTTCCGAAGCGCTCTCGGTTTCAGCACTATACATAAAAACATTTAGGTACATTTCAAACACCTAATCTCACTATTCTTGCTTCACTCAGTTAAGTAATACATAAATGGAAGACAAAAGTCACAGGAATAGAATAAATAATTTTAAGAGCGAGCCCATTACCTTTGCGAGAAATGAAGGCTGCGTGCACAGCGAGGCTTTTTTCCGCGGGTCTTAGGCATGCTGACAGATAAAATCTAGAAGCGAAAATAAAACACATGCAGCAGCATCAACAAGCCCAAACCAAACACATTCAGCTAGTAGCATACATATCATATCAGGAAATTTTGCGTGTGTATATGTATGTATGTATGCATGTAAAAAAAATTAGTACAAAATAATCAAAAACAATCAGTAATAAGAAGCTATTTTACCTGGGTGGGTATTTTACGGTAATAGTTTGCAAGTACATACATATATAGTAAGCGCAAAAAATATTTTAGTATATGTATTGAGTATTAATAATATTATAAATTTAATATATTATTAAAGAATCTTACTTTACCGCGTTATTATTACTATTATATTTAATAATATTATTTATTATTCCTTTATTTCACAAAATATTCTCACAAAAACAATACATTTTTAAATATATAATATAAAAAATACATTTAAAAATTAAATTAATTTATTATATTATTATAGTAGGTATTATAATTTACGTATATTTTTTAAAATACTTTATTACATAGTAATTTAATTACCTACTTTTAAAAATATACATAAATTATAAAACTATAATAAATAAAATATATAATAAAAAAAAATTAATATTTATTAAATATAATAATAATGAATAGGGGTGGTGACACTTCGTATTCTTAATCCGTCACCGTGGGTGTCGTAAGAGCCGACTAAGGGAGCAAACTACGCAGGAGAACAGCACTGCAAAGAGAAGGAAAACTTGACACAAACCCTATACCAACCCGTCTGGCCAGCGTGGTATAGTAGGCCAAAACCTCCTTTTTAAGGAGAGGCCTGTGTCCAACAGTGGACTGTTAAAGGCTGTTGATGATGATGTGATGATAATAATAATATATTATTAATACTCAATACATAATATACTTTAATATTTTTGTGGCAAAATCATCACAAATTATGCTGTGTGTGATCAGCCTTAGGAAGCCGTCATTTTGCACGGCATGCGCTTTGCAATTTACGTACAAGGAATTTTAGAAATCGTAATTATTGCCTTTTTCAGTGTTATTTGCTACTTATATTTAATAGTTTCGTTAGATTATTAACTGATCTAACTTCTAAAAAGCATTTACTAGGATAATACAGTACAAATGATCAAAATTGAAGGCAATCATTTCGATGTTGAGCGCCAAAATATACCTGCCGTATGTTTATAGATCTCGAAAAAAGTCAAATTTATATTTCAAGATGAAATTTTTACATCTACGTGTTGGTTATTTACATACCTTAATAATTCTAATGGATATTTTTGAAAATAACTCGTTCAAATCACTTTAATTTGTTGATAACACACCGCACTGCTCCGCACAGACACAACACTTACGTCAAACTCAAAGACATGGCATGTTTTGTCTTTTTTTTTTTTTCTCCGTTGTTTCAATACGGGGCTTGGATTAATATGACGAGAAATTTAACATAGAAACGAAAAAAAATATTAGAACACAGATTAGAGCGACAGAGACGGAAAGAATAAGCTTTTTCGAGTGCGAGAGCCCAGTCAACCGTATGGCGACCGGACAATCGGCGCTACTCTCGACTTGTCGACTTGTGGTCGACTGAGACAAATTGCAGTGCATTAGTTCGTCTACCCTAGGTCGACACGAGCGAGCAAGCGGTTAATGACCTCCTCTATAATGGACAGAACCTTTTGTCCTTGTTGAAAATCCTGCAGATTTCCTCTCCCGAGGACTGAAACCATCGCAAATAATCGGCCATCTGCTGTGGTTCGACGGCCCTCCGTGGGCGTAAACATCTCCGAATGGCCTATTGCACCCTTCAACCCTTCTACGGTGACGGAAGTGTTTGAAGAAAAGAAACATTCGCTAGTTACAGCTTCGCCACCTGCCGAATCTCTCATTATTTCGTTGGCTAGTCGCATATCGTCTTGGTCGAAGCTTCTACGTTGCTTAGTTTTCGTTTGCAGGTTCGCAAAACTGTTACCTCCAAGACATAATATCATCGCATCAGATTTAGACTTCGTAGAGTTGTTAACATTACGAGAGGTTCAACGCATACATTTTCCCAATGAGATCGCTAACCTGAAGGCTGGAAAACCCTTTAGTCGCGCCTTTCAACATCTCAAACCATTCATAGAAAATGGAATAATTAGAGTTGGCGGTCGACTTCGTAATTCGGACTTAGATTATGGTCAAAAGCACCAAATTGTGCTTCCTCGTAAAGACCACATACTGGATTTACTCTTTGATTATCATCACAAATTTAATTGTCATGCCGGTCCAGACTTACTAATATCACTCTTGGGTCAGAAGTACTGGATATTTTCGGCTCGTAATTTAATAAGGAATAGAGTACATAAATGTCTCCCTTGCTTTCGGCTTCATCCCAAGCCGTCATTCCCGGAAATGACAGATCACCGTTCGTGTCGTGTTGTTGAAACTGCTAAACCTTTTGTACACACTGGTACTGACTACGCAGGCCCATTCAAGGTTACCATGGGTCGCGGTCGTGGTATTCGATCTACCAAGGCATACGTGTGTCTTTTCGTCTGTATGACGACTCGCGCGGTTCATATTGAACTAGCAGATGATTTGAGCACCGTAAGTTTTATGGGAGCTTTGAAGCGGTTCTTATCTCGCCGTGGTCCAGTAGGTAGAATTTATTCAGATAATGGCAGCAATTATATCGGCGCCAAGCGCATGCTTTCAGAGCTTCACGAATTCTTATATTCAAAATATCATAATATTGAATTTGGCAATATGTTAGCAAGTAATCGCATTGAATGGTCGCTAAACGTGCCCGCTGCAAGTCATTTCGACGGCGATTGGGAGGCGAATGTCAAGTGTTTGAAGACCTATTTGTATCGGTGATAAAACATTATCTTTTGAAGAGATGAGTACGGTTCTCGCTCAAATCGAATCGGTCCTAAATACGCGACCTCTATGTAGAACATTATCTAATGATCCCTCGGAACCCCTCGCTCTAACTCCCGCATATTTTTTAAATCTCACGCCGTTGAAATATTTGCCTGCGAGTGAAATCGATCCTAACCTGCATACTCTCTCGCGGCATGATCAGCTCGATAAGTTGGTTCAGTCTTTTTGGAAACGCTGGAGAACCGATTACCTTCACACTTTACAATCGCGTTGTAAATGGAATACACCAGTCGACCCGATCACTGTTGGGACTGTTGTTATCCTTTTAACTGAAAATTCTCCTCCACTTCACTGGCCTTTGGGTGTTGTTGAGGAAGTTTTTCCTGGCTCTAATGGAGTCACACGGATAGTACGCGTTAAGACAACGACTGGTTCGTATTTTCGTCCAGTCGTACGTCTCTGCCCTTACCTAATCAATAATTCGTTAAGACTCATTTAGGTTAGGGAACTTAGATTGTTTATTGCTTAGTATCGTAGAATAATATCGTAGAATAATCGTAGTTTAGAAACATAGGCTAAAATTTTGAAGGCGTTCCTTCAAGCCGGGGGGATGTTCGCGCCACTAAACAAATTTCGTAACTATTACTCCACTATCCCTTTCCTGCCTATGCAACGCCTATACAATATGTGTGAGCGAGATGGACTCACCACCGCACGCTGCACATTCGTTGTACATAAGTGAAAATATAGTCTCGTTTCGACCGTATTACCGTCGTTTTCGAAATGCGCGCGTGTGCCACTTGAAAAATCGCAAATTAATAACTTTCGCATTGTGGTTTGTGAATTTGGTGAAAAATAGCCCCTGGACTTTATGCTGCTCCGCACAGGAAATAAGGTATCGTGCAATCCGTTCCGTTGGAAATGATTCTTACTTTCATTTTTCCTAACAGTTCTAATTTTCTACCTTGACGCCAACTAAATTTTACAAATTCCTCGAACTTAGCTAACCCGCGCAAACAGTTGGTACAAACTTTAATTTTTCCGATTATAGATTATGGTGATGTGTGCTACTACGACCTGAATGCAGATCTCCTCAACAAATACGACCGTCTTCTTAATAACTGCATTCGATTCATTTTTAATCTTCGTAAATATGATAATATTTCCTCCTTTCGTCTTAAATTAAATTGGCTCCCAATTCGTCAGCGTCGGGCACTAACGACTCTCTACACTATTCTCAACTCTCCTAACTCGCCTACATACTTGACATCCGCCTTCCAGTTCTTGTGCTCCAATCATAACAGAACCCTTCGCTCTACAAATAATCTTCTACTCTTATGCCTTGCCCACACTTCTGCGTGTGTTCATTCTTCCTTCCTCACTCAATCTGTACTTCTATGGAATGCTCTTCCCCAGGATATCAGAATGACGACCAATCGTAAATCGTTTAGGGTGAAGGTGCTGGCTCTCCTTGACCGGAATATAGAGGAATCATCACAAATATGATACTTTATATATTATGGTATATATGTATGTGTATATATATAATACAATATATATGAATGTATGTATTCTTGTATGTATACGTTGTTATTTTTATATTATTTCATTGCTTTTTCTCATATTTTTTTTCTCCTTCTATGCGAGACAGTACTGCTAACATTACTTCTTTTATGTCCACTTCATAATTCTCAACCAAAGGGTAGTGCACTTCCACACTCATTTCCACACCACCCTAAGGTAGACTGGTAGAGAATGCCTATGGCATTAAGTCCGCCATTGTAGTTATGTGCATAAAGTTATTAAATAAAAATAAATAACCGTAATAAGCAATCTACTTATTGCACTATTTAGGAAGCCAACATGATGCATTTTTGAGTAGCAAATAATATTTTTTGTAAACTATTTCCTAACCATAAGTTTTTTTTTTTAAATTATAAACTTTAATCACACTTGATTTATATTTTTTGACAAGTTCTC